GTCCATTAAATTAAGGAATAGAATTCAAGAAACTTATAAAAGAATAACAGTGTGAAAACGGACAAATATGACGGAGATTGACATTGAGCAAAAGATGAAGATTGAGAAAATGAAATTTAAGGCGAGACAAGAAGAATGTCGAATGAAATATTGATTTACAGTTATCTATGATATTGCTCATGTGAACTTGGATTATGATATGAAGATGTGAAAATGAAGGGAGAGAAAATGAAAAGGGAAAATGTGGAAAATAGAATTATGAAAATGAAGTAAAAGATATGAATATAAAAATGAAGACGATAAGAGAATGTGAGTTCAATTAATGAATTGGATTTTACTAATTAAAAGTTTATTCTAGAATAAGTTAATGATTAAATACGAGAGACAACGAGATAAACTAATGTTGAATAAAGTTATTATTTTACGCTTTTAAACTAATACGTACTTTGAAAATTACAAGGTATTAATAGCTCAAATAAAGAGCAAAGTTACAATCAATATGACTATGTCGAACGGAATGGACTATATATGGTATTATATGTTTTGAAATAATCAATATGATTGATCTGTACTATTCCTGATTATAAATAAGGATTGTACTTTGAATATTTGATTATAAGATATAGAGAAATTAGTTGTGATTTATAAGTTATAAAGAATTTCAAATTAAAGAGTTGACTTAGCTTTGTTTGTATTACTGAATAGCTTTTTGGAACAAAATGGATTCTTTGAGATTTATTAGTCAAACGGGTAAAATAAATCTGGTTAAGCTTATATTTTTCAATTTAGTATCTTTGTGATATCATTCTTAATCGTTGATTTACTATGTGATATTTGATACTGAAATTGTATCGAGAAAGAATGAACACCACTAAGCAAGATTTGCTTAGCGTGTTGGATTTTTGTCCTTCGCTTAGGTACCTAATTGATATGAGGCATAAAGTTCAAGGAGGAAAGAATTTGGGAGCAACCTGCCAATTAGCACAGAGTCACACTTGCATTTAATAATATCTCATCACTTTTATTTTACATAAATAAATATGTATTCAGCAAATTAGTATAATGTAATAGCAACATTAAATATTTACGTGTTAATATAAAATTTGAATGCTTCCGCAAATATGTTTTTTTATTAAAGTTATTATCATTCGCTCATCTTAAAAATAAAAGTATTTTGAATAATGAAAAAGATAATGGAAAAGTCAGTCAACGCTTTGGTGCTTCGGCACTGTGGGTAGCGCTCTCTGCCCTAGCCTTTCGGGCCGGGTAGGGGGTGTTACAGAATCGAACACAGGGCTCGGAATATAAGGAAGATATAAAGAAATTCTAAACAGAATGAGAATTGGAATCTTTGTTTATGAGAAATTTCCACATAAAGAACTCTCTGAAGAAAGAAATTCTCCAATTTTGATGTTTGAGTTGAGTTTTTCATGTCTAAACAGAAAGAAATTATCCACTTTTGATGTTTAAGTTGAGTTTTTCATGTCTAAACAGAAAGAAGTTATCCACTTTTGATGTTTGAGTTGAGTTTTTCATGTCTCTGTCTATGAAGAAATCTTTGTTTATGAGAATTGGAATAATTATGGGTAATGTAGCCAGAACATTCCTCATGTTTTATTTTTAGTCAAAATAGTGTAAAATTGACTAATGATTCATGAAATTTGAATTCTTTTTTCCTGACCAGTGAATAAAAAATGATTAAACTTGTTAGATTAAACTTGTGTTATGGTTATTGTTCATGATTAAACTTGTGGTATGGTTACTGTTGTTAAATGATAATGTATTCTTGAGATTGTAGTTATGTTGTTGTTTCTGAAAAATGAAGTAAGTGTACAAAACTATTTAATGTTTCCTGACTGGAAAAGCATTTTATGCAAATCAGTACATTCTTATCCATACATTCTTATCCATGCTGATTCAAATCATTTTCAGTCTGAACAGGAGCTAAATGGAGATACCTGTGATAGGATTGAGCTCTATAAACGAACTCATTTTTCAGAGAAAAATGGTTGGTCATCTGAAGTGGCAGAAGAGAATTGGGTATTATATATATATATATATATATATATATATATATATATATATATATATATATATATATATGCTAATCTGATCTTTCTTGTTTTACTCCAACCTGTTGTATTTGAAAAAAATTAAATCTACTTTTCATTAATGTGCATGACTAGGAGTTGATGAAAAAGAAACAAGAACAATATAAAGAAGAAGGATGTGATAAGAGTACAGATGATATTGTTCTTGAGGTTCTTGGTCATGGAGCTGGTTATATCAAAGGCCTTGGATATGGTCCTAAACCTGTTAGCAGATGCAATAATAGTGCTAATTCATATGCCACCCAACAACTTCAAAAACAACTTCAAGAGTCCCAACAAAGGTTAGAAATGTCTGAATCACAAGTTGGCGGGCTTAATGCTAAAGTGGTAGATAGTGAAAAGGAGGTGCTTGATTTGAGAAATCAATTAGCTGTGCAAGCTTCAAACATGGAGAAGATAATGGTATTTATGGCTGTTCAAGGAATGTCTTTATAAGCTTTAAGTTTGGTTATTTAAATATTCATTTGTTTCTTCTCATTATTTGATATTTACATTAGGTATTAGATTGATTTTGATGTTCACGTATCTTGAATAGTATCTTATTCTTATAAGATACTGAAGTTTGATGTTAGTGATATTACAGAATAATTTTTTTAATTACAGAAGCTTTATTACTCGTTGTTTGGATGTCATTATTTTGTTTGACCAGTTAGAAAACTCTGACATTTATTCAATTTGTAATTGTCACGGTTTAAATTGGAACAGTGACACTTAAATCGTCACATATATACTATTATTATTAATAAAGAAATATGATTTAATCACAGTAAAAATGCATTGCTTTATGTGCTCACATAATGACAAACTCACATAGTCATTTTATTTAATATTTTATGACTACTTCCGTCGTCATGGATTAATTACTTTATTTTGACATTAATTTATTTGTCACTCAAAAGTAGAAATTGTGACAATCGATTTGTCGCGATATTATTTTTTAATGATGACACAAATATATAATTGTCACTTTTTAAGCATAAAAATTACAATCAGTTTCATCATCAAATATAATCTTTTATTGACAACTTTACTTTTGTCATTATTTATATTTTAGATGACACTATATATCGTCAACATAAATACTTTATTAGTGACAAAAAAATTGTAACAAAAATAACGATAATTGATGACGATTTTCTTTAACCATGACGATTAATGTGATTTTACTGTGACAATTTTATTGTCACTATAACCAATTTATTTTTTAGAGAATGATGTTAGTTGTCACTATATGATACATTTTATTGACAATATAATAGGTCGTCATCAAATGTGCTAGGCAAAGATGACAAAATTTATACTTTGATGACAAAATATCGATATTAAAGTGACACATATGTTGTCACTAAAACTGACAAGTAATGGTGACAACGAGCTAAATCGTCATCAAAACTTAGATGTATGGTGACAAATTCAAAAAGTGTCACACATATCTTTTGCCACGGAGCTACGGTGACGAACACTGTGACAAATATAAATCGTCATATAAAAGTTTTAGTGACAAAAATTGAAGTTTATGTGACATTTTTTTTGTCACATTTAGTCAAAATTCTTGTAGTGATGACTACCAGGAGCTATTAAAGGGTGTTAGAATAGTTAGATATTGTTGTTATTTTTTACTTCTTATCAGTATGAAATCTAATGATTGTAATAATAAAGATGCTATGTTGGGATCAAACAGCAAGTCAAAATTGTGAGTCACTTTGAATATTGATTTTTGTTAGATATTTTTATTCAAAACATTCCGAGTGTTTTAATGAGATCTAAAGTAATATAAGTTATAATCTAGGGTATCATTCGGTTAAAAAATAATAGAAGTTCAAACAAGCAATTCTTTTTATTAACGCTAATTTAGTTAAAAAACAATTCTTTTTATTAACGCTGTTTTATTGGGTGAAAAAGTCATTTTTTTTTATTTTAGATAAAAATAGGAAAGCTTTTAACAGTGCAAAAGTTCCAAAACAATGTAAAGGATCTTCAGTTAACTTTTAGGGCCAGCAAGAGTCTCTGGCTTTTGATTAATTGATGTTAATCATGAGTAATTTGGTTAATATACTTTGTCAATACAATCGAGTAGTGTTATTTATGTGTTTAATAGCTGAAATGAGCTATTAATTTATTTATTATAATCATTACTTTTCTAATGATTTAATACTTTTGAAGCTTTTAGAATGCCTAGATAATGAAGTAGGTGGAATAATCGGAATTAATAAATTAAGTGAGTTTATTAAGTGTCTTGTGAGTTTCCTATTATAGGAGTGTGTGAAAAAACAAAAACAAGTGAGAGTATTTTTTATGATGGATAAAAAACGGCATGTTCAACGACATGTTTAGTTTTATAAAAAAAAATGGCATGTTTAAAATCAAATTTGGCCATCACAATAATTAATGGATAAATAAGTCTTTAAAATAAAAATTGACATTTACAAGTTTCGTCCAATTCCAATTCCACAAATTAGATACAGTGTATCTACTTTTTTAATTTTACTTATACGTCCAATTCCAATTATTAATTGGTGTTAATCATTAAGTAGTAGGTTGCTTAGATTCCAGTAGTGCTATTAATTTGTTTGTTTTAATCAAGGTAATCAATGTAATGAAGGTTTGTGTCTTTTAGGATCCCTAGATAATGGAGGCAAGAATAATAATTGCCACTAATAAGTTAACCCATTATGAGCAACGTGCTTTGCAAAGACACATAGTGTGGGAGGTTTATATATATATATATATATATATATATATATATATATATATATATATATATATATATATATATATATATATATATATATATATATATATATATATATATATATATATATATATATATATATATATATATATATATATATATATATATATATATATATATATATATATATTGCATGTTGTCAATGGATCATTCTATACCTACACGCACAAAGACACTCCTATAATTTTCAAGGATTACTATTTGGATTGGCAGTGTTACACCTACAGGGAGAAATTCTGGAATGGACTGATATATGATTGTATAGGCGGCAGAAAACACAATTCATTTGTACCGCATGAGGTAAGTGTGATGATAAATGTCCCAATGAAGTTTTATTGGAATTATGATTGAAAAATATAGATACAGGTTTATACCTTCTGCTCCTTAACTTTATTGTGCAGATAGTTTAGTAGGGAGAGGAGCTTGGAGATCTGTTAGAAAGAAAAATAACATGGTGAAGATTACTAAAAGTACAAAATTTTCGAGAAAGAGAACAATAGATGTCATCAAAGAAAAAGGTAAATGTTAATTTACATTCATTTTAGCCTTCATGGACTGCACTTATTTTATGCTTTACGTTTTTATTCAAAGAAATATAAAATTGTTTAGTTCATTAACTTTTAATGTATTTTATAAGCACTTCAATTGTTTTATTAAACCCCAGAAACCATATGGAATAGTAATACACTTTAGTAATACATGATCGAAAAATAATTCATTCATATATCCCCAAACAACGTTATTTTGATGTATTATCCAGCTTTCTTCAAGTAAATGATTTCTCAAATCATTTGAGAACTTCGGGGATTCTTTGTCTCAATCCATTCTTTGTCTCAATCTGGGATTGCGGTGTGTGTTCATGTGCCTGACAGTTCACTTTTAGCGACGAATTGCTGATTATTTATTCTCTGGAATGTGTTTGCTCAGTATAAGAAAGTATGGGATACAATCTAATATAATGTTAAACTCCATATCAAATAAACATTATATACAATCTCTAAGTGTAATACCTCTTGGAATCTTAATCGACTCATGTAATACATCTTGGGATCAAAAATAGGATGGTGAAGATTACTAAAAGTGAAAAAATTTTGAGAAAGAGAACTGTAGATGTCATCAAAGAAAAAGGTAAATGTTAATTTACATTCATTTTAGCCTTCATGGACTGCACTTATAAGGTACTTCTTTTATAAGTACTTCAATTGTTTTACTAAACCCCAAAAACAATATCAAATGGTAATACACTTTAGTAATCCTTTTGAAAGTAATCCTTTTATAAGTACTTCAATTCTTTTATTAAACCCCAGAAACAATATGGAACAGTAATACACCTTCGTAATACATGAATAAAAATACTTCATTCATATAGCTCCAAGCATTGTTATTTGATGTATTATCCAGCTTTCTTTAAGTAAATGCTTTCTCAAATCATTTGAAAGTGAATTTAGTGAAGATTATAGTTTAAGCTAGGTACGAAAGTGAATGATTTCTGCAGTGTATGAATGTATGAATTAGTAATCCTTTTGAAAATATAAAATCACTATCTGTAAACTTCATTTGCTTTCATTTTTACTAAGAATATAATACATGTTGTAGTGTTGTGTAAGCTTAAGATGGTTGACTGGTTTATACCTTCTGCCCCAGAACCTGGTCCCTTCTCCGCCATTAGCCTCCACCACTGCCGTGATACAAGCTCAAGTCAAACCTAGCGCCATCCATAACTCTCGCCTTGTAATTCTCACATATTTGTATCATTTCACCAATGAATAGATATAGCTTATTTCTTAGTCAAACGAAATTAATGTTAAAATATACAGAGTAAATAGCATATATGGTTTGATTGAGATGAAAGTATTTTAAAACTATGAAAACTGTCTTAAAAGGATATAATAAACCTTCATTATAAACGACACAAACCTAAAAGACACAAACCTTCATTTTGTAAATGTAATTTGAGATGAGAGTAAATAGCTTAAGATGTAACTTTTGTGGAGCCTTATTTTGGTATGATGAGAGATTATAATCTCATTATAAGGCAAAGAATCCAAAGTATTTTGGGTGTTGCATGCAAGGAAAAATTAAATTACCATTAATAAAAAGGCCACCATTGGTGATTGAAAATCTTTTTAGAGGACAAGATGAAATGAGTAAGCATTTCTTGCAAAATATTCGTTCATACAATAACATGTTCTCCTTTACATCATTGGGTGGCAAGATTGATTCAGCTATGAATGATGGAAAGTCCCCCCCCCCCCCCCCCCCCCCCCCCCCCCCGATTTTCAAGTTGCAGGGTCAAAACTTTCATTTAATGGGAAGTTTGTTACAATCCCAATCTGTAGTGCCTAAATTTGCACAACTGTACATTTACGATACGGAGAATGAAGTGTCCAATAGAATTAATTCTGTTAGGTAATTAAATTTTATATTATTTTTTATGATTGTTATTCTCAATTTTATTAGTAAATATCTAATCTCAATTTTTTATTTAGGAAAAAGGGAGAACCTCACAACTTACATGAGCGAATTGTTGAGAAATTAAAAAATGCACTTGATGAACATAATGTGCTGGTCAAATCATTTAGAATTGCTGGGATGAAAATTCAAGATGAAGGTGTTGATTTTAAACTCAAATTAATAGGCAAGAGAGCAAAAGATGGAAGAACTTATAACTTGCCTTCGGTATCAGAGGTTGCGGCATTGGTGGTAGGAGATTTTGATTTGTCTTTGGGTGAAAGAGATATTTTGGTTGAGACTTGCGCCGGAGGTTTGCAACGGATTAATGAATTGAATCCGTCATTTTTAGCTCTTCAGTACCCGCTTTTGTTTCCATATGGGGAGGATGGGTTTAGAGAAGACATACCTCTGTGTGGTAAAAACTCGGATCAATCACGAGGAAGACAAAATATGAGCATAAGAGAGTTTATTGCATATCGATTGCATGAAAGAGAAACATATTTTTCAGTTTTATTACGTGCTAAGAGATCATTTCAGCAATTTTTTGTTGATGCTTATACTTTAATTGAGTCGAGCAGGTTGAAGTATATCCGTAATCATCAGAAGCAATTAAGATGTGAAATGTACAAAGGGTTGGCTGATGCTCTATTGCGCGGTGACACGCATCCTGCGACACATGGAAAACGTATAATCCTTCCTTCTTCATTTACAGGTGGAGCAAGATACATGATTCAAAACTATCAGGATGCAATGGCTATCTCTAGATGGATTGGGTATCCAAATCTGTTTATAACTTTTACATGCAATTCAAAGTGGCCTGAAATAGCAAGATACATTGAAGAGCGCAATCTGAAACCAGAAGATCACCCAGACATTAAATGTCGAATTTTTAAGATGAAGTTGGATGGTTTAATAAATGATTTCTGCCGCAACAAAATATTTGGCGCGGTTAAAGCAGGTATATTATTAAGTTCAATTGTTAGTATTGATGATTACTAATTATATTTGAATTAATAAATTTTTTATTGATGTTTATTATGCAGTCATATACACTATTGAGTTCCAAAAGCGTGGATTACTAATGCCCATACACTGTTGTTTCTTGAAAAAAGTGAGAACTTTGCATCATCAGATCATATTGATAGCATTATTTCCGCAGAAATTCCTTGTGAGGAGAGTGATCCTGAATATTTTAACGCAATGAAAGATCATATGATGCACGGACCATGTGGGAGTGCGAGAAAGAATTCACCGTGCATGATAAATGATCAGTGTTCTACATTGGATGAGGATGGATATCCAGTATATAGACGAAAAAATGATGGAAGGACAATATCCAAAAATGGAGTAGATTTGGATAATAGATATGTGGTGCCGCATAATAGATATTTATTGCTCAAGTATGCAGCACATGTGAATGTTGAGTGCAATCAGTCCAGATCTATCAAATATTTGTTTAAATATGTAAACAAAGGTAATGATAGAATAACTGTGACATTCTACCAAAGTGCCGATGGAGATGATACAAATGCCAATGTTGATGAGGTAAAGAGGTATTATGACTGTAGATATATTTCATCATGTGAAGTTGCTTGGAGAACTTTAGGATTTGAAATCCAATATAGAAGTATTGGTGTGGAGAGGTTGAATTTTCATTTGCCTAATGAGCAAGTTGTGTATTTTAATGATTTGGAACCGATAAACGAAGTTCTTGAGAAACCAACTGTGAAAGAAAGCATATTCCTTGCTTGGTTTAAGGAAAATGAAATGTACCCGGAAGCACGAGACTTGGCTTATGCTGAAATGCCAACCAAATTTGTCTGGAAGAAAGCTACTCGAGAATGGGTACCAAGAAAAAAGAATTTTGTCATTGGTAGACTATATTATGTTCCACCACATCATGGTGAGCTTTTTTATCTTAGGTGCCTTTTGAATTTTGTTCGTGGTCCAACATGCTTTGAAGATATTATGAAGGTTGATGGTGTCCAGTATAATACTTTTCATGATGTTTGCTATGCCTTGGGCCTTTTAGAAGATGATAAAGAATATGTAGATGCAATTAAAGAAGCAAGTTTTTGGGTAAGTGCATATTTATTACGTAGGCTTTTTGTTGCTCTATTAGTTTCTGATAGTCTATGTAGGCCAGAAGAGGTTTGGGAGAAGTGTTGGACTTTTTTGTCAGAAGACATCCTTCATAAACAACGTTTGATGCTTAACCATCCAGGTATATTTTCATATATTATTTAATAGTTAATAATTTATTTTATAAATCCACTCTATTGAGTAAATTTCTTTATTGTAGATCTCACAATAACGGATGTGGAAGTGAAGAACCTTGCTTTGTTTGAAATTCAAAAGATGTTACGCAAGTGTGGGAGGAGTTTAGAAGAATTTGAAACCATGCCAGTTCCGGACAATAGATTCTTATCAAATAATGGTAATCGGTTGGTTTATGATGAGTTAAGATATGATCGAGTCAAGTGGGTTGAGGAGCATAAAAAATTGCTTGGTAATCTAACTGTTGAACAAAGAGATGTTTATGAAACGGTAATAAATGCCATTGATTCAAATAATGGTGGAGTTTTCTTCGTATATCGATATGATGGAACTGGAAAAACATTTGTATGGAACACTCTTTCAGCTGCTATACGTTCCAAGGGAGAGATTGTATTGAACGTTGCATCGAGTGGCATTGTCTCACTTCTGTTGCCGGGTGGTAGAACTGCACGTTCTCGATTCAAGATTCCAATTCATCCCAATGAAGACTCCACGTGCAATTTAAAACAAGGGAGTGCACTTGCTGAACTTCTTATTAAGTGTAAGCTTATAATTTGGGATGAAGCTCCAATGGTCCACAAATATTGCTTTGAGGCATTAGATCGGACTCTTCGTGATATCTTGCGATTTAGCAATCCAAATAGTCAGCAAATGCCTTTTGGTGGAAAGACAATAGTGTTTGGTGGAGATTTTAGACAAATCCTTCCTGTCATAACCAAAGGAACAAGGCAAGATATTGTGAATGCGTCTATAAATGATTCTTATTTGTGGCAACATACAAATGTCATGCGCCTAACAAAGAATTTGTGTAGGTGAAAAGGTGTTAATACCAAGGATGTCTTTGACACCATCACATTTGAGATTGCCTTTCAAGTTTCAAAGAAGACAATTTCCTCTTATTGTCTCATATGCAATGACAATAAACAAGAGTCAGGGACAATCTTTATCTAATGCTGGATTGGTTTTACGCAAACCTGTTTTAGTCATGGACAATTGTATGTGGCTCTTTCCCGTGTTACTAATCCCCATGGTCTGAAGGTTCTTATATGTGACAAAGAAGGTCAAAGTACCAATGTAACAACAAATGTTGTTTTTAAAAGAAGTGTTTCAAAATTTGTAAACATTAATAACTTTCATTTGGTGATTCACTATCAATTTAGTAATGTTTTTCTTACTTCCTTATAATATGATAGATTTTAACTTTCATTTAATAATTAGTATTATTGAATTACAAGAAATGTACTACCACTATTACATACCAAATTATTACGGACTACATAGTATATTAGATGTGCGATTCATATTATTAAAAAATCTATTCTTTAACATGTATAATTTTCCCGTGCATCGCACGGGTATAATACTAGTATTCACTTATTTCAATTAAGTAACTAAAATAAAGTTGTTTGACAAATAAAAAAGTTCACTTTGAAAATAAATTTGGGATGGAGCATGGAGATATATAGTAATAATATACAAATCGTACTAAGTAGTTCTCTCCATTGAATGACGATGAACATGTTAAGTAAATTGACTGTGACATTATATTTTCACACATATTCTCGCTACGATTAAATACTCTCTCCGATCCCTCTCAATTTGATTTGTAAAATTTCTTTTTTGGTTGTCCCAAATTGGTTTTTCACTTTCTATTTTAGATATGTAAATAAGACTAAAGTGACAAATTTACCCTTACTTTTACTTTTTCTCCATTAATTTAAAGACATCTAGTTTTAGAAAGATGGGCAAAAGTGTAAAAAGAAAGGATCATTACTTAGCCTTAGACTAGATGCTCATTTGTCTCATTGACTCATTAATCCCCTTTTATTCTATATTTCATTTTTTTTACTTTTTCTGAAAATACTTTTTTATTTATTTTAACACTTCATCTTAAAATAACCTTAAGTTGTACTTATTGTTTTTAAAATTAAAAAAGAAGCTGGGGCAAGAAACATAATATAAGTAATACTAGTAAAAAAAATTAGTCGGACCGAGGGCGCTTGCCCCCTTGCCCCCTAGCTCCTCCACTGAATACGCATGAGACATTTTTTTTTTACTAAAGGGTTGTGGGGATTAAAAAGGGAACAAATCATCACGAACCACATGCATGCCAAGTTGCAGATTTTACACCGGTTTACTTTTCTTCTGTTGTAGATTTTACCATGCTTCCTTATTTTTGGCTTTCGTTATCAGCCTATCAAATGCCACGATTTGATGACTTTTCCGGTAAAATGCATTACCGGAAATTAAAATCTATCAAATTACCAAGCTTATAAAGCATCGTCAGTGGTTAGCTAATTAGTCTCATAGCTTGATTATCTAAGAGCATTTGCACCAAAATTAAAATCTATTCCAATGATTAGTTACTACCTCCGTTCCCAATTTAACTCCCAAATGGATTTGGCACAAAGTTTAAGATAATGGATATTGTGAGGTGGAGAGTTGTGCAGAGGAGAGAGAAATGTGTAAGAAATGTTGTGAACCACAAATTCTTTACCAAAAATGGAAAGTGGAAGTTTTAATTGGAACGGACGAAAAAGGAAAGTTGGAAGTTTATTTAGGAACGGAGGGAGTATAATTTATTCCTCTTCATTTATATATTATTAATAATGTTATACGGAGTATTTGATAATTTTCTTTTCTTAAGCTAGTAGCTCATTTTGGTCGATTGCCTAATTAGCATTGTGAAACAAAACGAAAAGCAATGGTTCAATGATAAGTTATTAGCTTTAAAATTGTAAGTAAATCATCAATAATAACCATTAGCAATTATCTAACTCCTCTGTCCTTGAAAAATTGAGTTTTAACAATTAATACTTGAAAGCTATAGTTATTTGAGATAGACATTCCGATTTTGCAAAGTTAAACTGATCATTTTATTTGATAAAGGGATACCGCTTACTTCCGTCAACCGCTTGCTTCTGTCCCATAACTTGCATCACATGGATGTAGAATAATTTATTTCTTCTTTATGGAAACTAACTATTTCTCTAGTGTTTGCTCATTTTAGGTAAAAGATTGTAAGGATATGTTCTCGAGTTTGAAGGGAAGGCAAGGGGAAGGTTTTGAAGGTTAGTCATTGGAAAGGAAGGTGAGGGAAAGGGTTGGAAATCCCTTTTCTTGTTTGGGAGTATCATGTTTGAAAGATAAAGGTTTTAGATTAATTATAATTAAAATTACTTCAAATAATTGACGAAGTATAACGAATTCAAATAATTGAGTTTATATTTATTTAAAATTGACTTAAAGTTGTCATTTAACTAATTATCATTCAAAATCTCTCAAATTGGGGAACTTGAAAATTGAGCATTTAAAGAGTTTTGGAGGATTACAAAAGCCTTCCGAAACCACTCCTCTATATTTTTTTAATTCCCAAACATGAAAGGGAGAACCATAAACCCTTGTCAACCATCCCCTCTCATCGAAAACCCAACTCCCAAACATACCCTAAGTAAAATGGTAAACTATAGGTTTTTGTTGGATATCATTACACATAATATTATTATTATTATTATTATTATTATTTCTCTTGTAACATTTTTGCATGTAACATTCTCTTCCATGTACGTACGTAGTTATTTTTGCATAGGATACTAGGCCATTATTGCTTGCCTTTTATTTTCCTTAATCTTAGCATGTATGTACCTTACTCAATTGTATACGGCAGCTACGGCTCCAACACCAAGTGTATATATGGCATGGATCGACACATACATCACCATGCGAAAATAATAAAGATTCTTTCCGATATTCACCCGTTTGACATGGTATCAAAGCAGCCATAGTCTAGGACCGTCCACTGCACGTACCGTCGTCATCAAGCATGGCCGGAGAAAAAGAGAACCATGGTGACGGACATCGACCGGAACGACGGAAAATAAATGGTACATCATCTCCATAGTATTTGTCTAATGCGGACTATCCAGGATTGGTTATTTGTGCCGTTGTTCTCAAAGGCGAGAGCAATTACCGGGAGTGGGCAACAGCAATGAAAACGGCGTTCCGTGCTCAGCGGAAATTGGGTTTCCTTGATGGAACCATAAAACGACCCATGAACGTAGGGAACGATCTCGAAGATTGGTTGACCGTCAATTCCATGGCGGTGGGATGGATTATGACCTCAGTTGAACCAACACTGAGAACAAACCTTGCTTACATGGAAAGTGTTTGCGATCTGTGGGAGGAGTTTACATGAGGAAACAGATTGTCCTCAGTTTATTGTAATCTCGAGATTTAAACCTCGAGATTGTAATCTCGAGATTTAAAACTCGAGATTGTAATCTCGAGATTTAAACCTCAAGTTTGTAATCTCGAGATTTAAACCTCGGGATTGTAATCTCGAGATTTAAACCTCGGGATTATAATCTCGAGATTTAAACCTCGGGATTGTAATCTCGAGATTTAAACCTCGAGATTAGGATTTCGAGGTTTTGCCTTAGAATTTTCTCTAATTCCACCTGATTTGGATATTCTACATCGAGAACCTCAACTTCGAAGAAATTCCTCAAAAACTCAAAAATTCGAGATTTTCTGCGACACCGCACTGTTTTGGCCATAACTTTTGACTCGGTGATCCGATTTGAGCAAAAAATTTTTGTTAGAAAGCTAACGAAAAGATCTACATTAATTCTCAGGCTATGCCACAGAACCCATTCTCACGCGCCCTCACTCGCAGTCCTTGAGGGTCAAAACGTTAGTTTTCCGATAAACTTTGTAAATCACCGATTTCTAGGTCAAAACTTAGGCAAATCTGTTCAAATTCTTTCAAAGTCAAACCTAAGGTCTAAGCTGCACTGTAGACGTCCGAAAATTGTAGATAATTCAATCAACCTCGCGTCAACGGTCATCTTACAACAATCAACAATCAACTGCTGAAGCCTCCCCTAACTCAACAACATTATGTGATCATCAATATGCTGAAATTCTACATGATGAGCTCAGGGAAACCGTCATGTGTGGTACATGTTCAGATTGATCCACACACATGGCGGGTATGACGAACTGTGAGCAATCAATCCTTGCACATTCTGAGGGGGAGTATCAGTATTCTCCTCCTGGCGCTTTACACCGATAAAGCAAGGAATCTCTCAACGGATGCAACATTCTAGGGGGAGTGTTCAATGTTATCCTCCCTGGTGCCTAACAATGACAAAGCATACCGAGTGCTCCAGTTGAGGGGGAGTACAGAGAGAAAATCAATGAGAGAACATGTTCCTATGACTTATTAAACCCAACTAAAGCCTACCCAAGGGGCAAAGCCGAGAGTAAGTGAGTGAGTGAGAGTAATCATTATGAGAGTTAGGAAGCAGAAGGCTCAAGTGAGAAGAAAAACAATAATCAATGATGAGTCTGCTACATCAACTGTCTATTATCCATTGAACATTTACTCCTAGCCACTCAAATACTCTAGACAATTTCCAAATAGGTTCAGGACTGATTTAATCAGATCCCGGATAGAAGTCATTGCATCTTGTCCAACAGTGCACGTTGAACCCTACCCAAGACCACTCACCTATCTCCAAACAGACATGTGTTTAATCATACTTCACGGGGAACCGCATCTCTCATTATTGTCTCCTTCCGAGGCAAGTAATACTGACTACAGTGGCCTCAGCCCCATGCCACTGAACTTTCATTGATCACGTCGTGTCTAGTTACTCACTCCCAAATGTTTTGAAATTTTCAAGGACACAGACGCACTTTTAGAGTCAGTTGCAGGTCTACATGACCCGCGAGAACTTCCATAAGACTCATCTATTACAGATGTAGACCAATAATTGGAAGGAAGTCCTGCTGTTGCAACATAAGAATCACCAACATTTTCAGGCCATTGCTAAAGAGTTTATCTCTATAGTGATGATAATGGGCGTCTTCACGACCCCGGGGGGCTACATTATCTTCTTTACATTCTGCTTGTTTTTCCTGTTTTATTTCCGCAGAATAAAAGAATAAAGGCATGACGCCCCGATTCATCGGACCGTCATGAGAAGAAGAGTGTTCCACATGCTGTTTAACTCTCAAAAATCATTCTCGGACACTTCTCTCCTCCAACACTCTCTCTACTATTTGCACAACACAAATGGTCAGCTACGCTCACAATTCAACCATCATTATGTTCCGATGTGCCACCGACAAGTTCTCCTCAAAAGCATTC